CAAGTTTCATTAAAAACGACTGAAATATTCCTATAACAGTAGATACATACACAAAGCATCTCATACATTCAGTTAAAATTAAAAATAAAATCATCCTGGATAATGCCTAAAAGTATAGTCGTATAGTCGAAAGTGCTCGGACATACAGAACATTCGTATAATTTCTACATAATGTATGTCCAGAAAAGGAGAAAATTATAAGAACAGAAGAAAATTTAAGAAAAACAAAACTTACCTGCAATAACTTGACAGTCGTTTTTAATGAAACTTGTATAAAAGTATAAAAGAGATTGCTGCCCAAATGCACAATATAGATATAATCTCTCTTTTATAGTCTCTTCATATTTATATTGGACTTAGTTTATTATGAAATAATGCCACAAGTGATGTGCCCCCGACCACGTGAACTTGTAGTTGACTATAGTAATAGTTATTTGTGAATCTGTCTTGGTAGCTATTATTCTACGGAGAGACTATCAAGGTATTAAACTTTTGCAAATAGTTCAAAGTAACACATTGCTTTACTTTCTATTACGAAGTGATCACTTATTTTAGTTCACGTTCGTCGTAACTTAATTTCATTTGTTTTTCGCTTGACAAGTGTCAATCGAAAATTACGTTACAGTAGAAATACTTTACAAAACCATTTCATTAATATTATTATAGAAGAAGACGTTGTAATTTAAGAATTTGTGAAAACCTCTTTTCTTGAACGTATTGAACTCGATTGTTTATGAAAAGATTTATCAGAAAGATGTGTTCCTTAAACAAACGTTGATTTTTAACAACAGTGTACAAAATATTATTTCACAAAAATACTCTTTAAAGATCTGATGGTACTTTGTTATGATTTTAGTAAAGCTGACTTCGCATTATTTGAACTTTTGAAATAAATTTTGGGTGTCAAAATAGGAAGTTGATACAGTCGGAAAAAAAAACTGTAATGTAGAGAATCTTTTTGCCTTTCATTAGCATGGCAGATGCTAACCTCTAGGAGAGCAACACATTGTGTTTTCTTCGTCTAACGTTTTCCATTTACATGAAGTGAGGTGATTATATGGGATTAATTGCCAGGTTTGCTACAAGGGAAGTTGGTGCCAGACAATAATTCTCGTCACATTCCATTTTACAATTCGTCAATACATTGTATATTGCTGCCATAGTTTCTCTCGAGCTCTGTTATATATTTCGAGATTCTCTAAAAAAATCCAAAGAAGGATCTGTAATATTATTGGTCCTGACTTCAGTTACTTCCCCACCACTGTGACATGGCGTTTCTCTTTCTTTTCTATAAATATTTTCATAGCATTTGTTCTAATGAGTACTCCCCCTTTGGACTTCAATTGTATGTATTTAAGCGTACTACTAGATTGGCTATTAAGTCTCACCTTTATACTGTTGAAATAGCTAGATAGAACCGTAAGTTCTATTCTAATAGTTTCTTTTCTCGCACTTCTTGCCTGTGAAACCTTCTTCCGGTTTCTTGCTTACCTGTCACCTTAATCGCCATCTTCTGTCTTCCTTATTCCTGTTCTTTTATTCTCCTCACTAAAAGTTTTCTAATTCTCTTTCAATACCAGTAACCCCTGGCATCTTAGTTGCATTATCACATTTGTTGGAGTGAAATCTTGGGGTTACTGGGAGTGAAAGAGAATTAGAAAACTTTAGTGAGGAGAAAGGACAATAAAAGAACAGGAGTAAGGAAGACAGAAAATGGCGATTTAGGTGGCAGGGGATTAAAAAAAAACTAAAGATATTTGTCAAATCAAACTTGTTTTTTTAAAAAACGGGGAATTTGTAAATTAGTTGTGTATGCAAGATTGTTCTTACAAATATTCGTCGCTATCATCCTGCAGCTCGATTTTGAATGGTATAACTCCACGACCGTCACCAGGCGCCCTTAAGCCGAAGTAATATTTAATTGCATGTCACCATTCTTATATATATATATATTAGTAATATGAAATAACATTGTATATAAAAAAAAACTGTGAAAAATACCAGCACTTTTTCTCTGCCCGTACTAAGATATATCTGCAGCTTCAAGTATACATACTCAAGTCAGCATGTGTAAACCTTGTATTCACACACACAGATATATATATGATGGACTATCTTGTCGGTTTCGACGTATGAGGTTCCGACAACTTTGTTTATTTAACCTTGTGCGTGAATCGCAAGTGACATTTCAGTCCTGCTAGTGATTTGCAAAGAAGTCCGCAGATTGTGCAAGAATGTGGATTCTTGGAGTATATGGCTGGAACAGTAGCAGATATTTTATTCCTTATCACCGACGTCATCTTATCAGCAGTTCCAAGAAGTGTGGATAGGGCTACATAAGCCTTTACCACTATAATCAAACCATGCGTTGGTTTCTGACAACTTAACTCACTTAATTCATATATATATATATATATATATATATATATATATATATATATATATATATATATATATATGTAAAGATGTGTTTGGTAATCCGTATGGATAATTCCAGAGAAGATATAATTCAGAGAGCTCATTGTAAAAACAGAGCAAATATTGATTATGTTAAGAAACAGACAACTTGAATGTTTCACGGTGATTATAAGAGCTCGACATTTACGTACAAATAAATTTTTTCTTCACTCTTATTTCTAGGCTCCTCTTCCACTTTTCTGTGGATATTCTTGATAAATAGGTCAGCATGTCTAACAAGTCCCACACCTCCCCGTCATTATTATATGTCTCTTTTTACAGATGGATGTGAATACATTTATCTCTTTTCTTCTTTATCTATTTTCTCCTTTCCTAATTTTGTTTACCTCTCTTTTATCTTCCACTTTCTTAATCACCTTTACCCTTTCGAGAGAGAGATATCTCCTTCGACCTCTGCTGCCACCAATCACTCCCGCCAATTTAACCCTACCTCCTCAGACGTGTGCATAAATTAAAAATAATAATACGGAATTCTTCTTATGCCTGGAATAGTTGTCACCCATTTATTTGTATAAAATGTCGACCTGATGAATTAGAATAAAAATTCAAATCTAAAGAATGTCTGATGATCCAGAACCCTGTTAAAGGGGTTATGGTGAAATAGCTTATTACATGGAATCTTAACGTGGTCTGTTTTTTTTATTATATATATATATATATATATATATATATATATATATATATATATTGTATAATTAAGTCAGCAAATTCGCTTTTAGGCATGTCTGATTGAATAAATTACGGACATTATGTCTTCTAATTTTAACAAAATCCGTTCATACTCACGAAAAATCTTCTGTGTATTGATGTGATGTGCACATCCACAATATAAAAAAGATACTAATCAACACAACTATCCTACTCCAAGAAAACAACAAATTCAAACTACAGATCCTAGAAGCAATTTATATTAAAAAGAATTAAACCCCACATTTAACAGAACCAACTATGAATACTGCAGTAATATTCTGAAATGCCTATAAAGGAACAGTCTTGTCGCGCTTTAAAGAACGCATGACCATGGTATTATAAAATAGAAAAAAAAATCCATATCGGGTAATTTTTTCACGTTCTAATGAACGCTCAGCACATTGTCAACCGTTTTGCATTTAAAAGCATAATAGAAAAATTACGGTAATGGATAACAACGCACAGATTTGTATAAATACTTGTACTAATGAACAACATATAGTTTTGTACTACTTGCACCCCTGAAGATGTTCTTGGAAGAACATCGAAAATACTTGGGAAATGAAAATAAAAGAAATTTAAACAGCTATAGCACATTTCTCTCGTCCTTTAACATCAATACACGGAAAGTTATTCGTGAGTATGAACGGATTTTGTTAAAATTTAGCAGTAATTTATTCTGTAATTTATTCAATATCTATCTATCTATCTATCTATCTATCTATCTATCTATCTATCTACATATATATATATATATATATATATATATATATATATATATATATATATGTATATATATATATATAGCAATTGCAAACTCATGTTTATATTAAATACTTATTCATACGTATACACGACAATCGTATATATAGACTATATCCAGATTAAGGACTGTCGACAAGAAATGAAAAGAAGTTATGTCTAGATTCAATTAGTGCAAGTATTGACCAAACCTTTGAGGTCTAGCGCTTTCGGACATACTTCTAGTTGCGAACAAAAAAAAAACATGAATATAAACTTGTTTTAAAATGTTTAATATTTGAAATCGTCATAAATGTATTTGTACGTTAAGAGGATATAACGCACTTAAAAGCACAAAAGCAAAAATCTTCACCGGACTTAATATAACTGAATATACATTTATCCATTGTTAAAACGCCATTGCTCAAAATGAAGATTTTATGTAATTTTGTGTTTCTTGATGCAGTGATAAAGATATCTATCATAAAACAGTTGTGTAATAGGTCGGCGTTCTAGCTGAGGTAAGTAGCAAGTGTCTGAAGTTCTGGTTTTCAAGGCAGGCAAGTTCTGTCTAATTAAATAACCAGAGTAACACTATCTTCCAAATTTAATTTTTTCGCTGATATACTATTTTGTTGCCATGAGTAAAGCTTCGATAATATTGGTAATAAAAATATTTTCTTAAACTGCTTTGCTTTCATCGTGTTTTCAAAAGATCAAAACAATTATTAAATTTTCGTCAAGTATTTTCTTCGTCTTAATTTCACTTGTCTTTATCGCAACACTCAGACCAGTCGTTAATAATAACGAAATAAAAATTGTTTTTGATTATATCCGGTTCGCGTCGTTTATTGACGATTATACATCGATCCTCTGACAGGATAAAGTGAGAAAAAAAAGCCACTGGGATGAAGATTATAGAATATATACGAGCCGCAAAAGTCATAATAATTGTCAATATTTCACTGAAAAGTTTCAAAAGAAAATAATCCAACCTATTTTGAGTGTCAGAAAATGCTGCCTCCTAGCCCAATTCTCTACCATCTTTCACTTTTTTTCCTCTCACTCGAATCTCGTATTTTCTCGCACAGTTCTCAGGCACTTTCTTCTCGTTCGATCATATCACTCAAGGCTTGAGTCTGTTTGATCCTCCTGGGAACCTGATGGCCAGATTTTATGACCAGCACAAATGCATTTTAATCACGGATCTTCTTGACTGCCATCGGAGAGGACTGTCCCTTGAGATCATATTCTGCGTACAGCCTGTCCGAATAGGATTCACTTAATTGGCTTTAGAGGCCAGACGGGGAGTAGGTGGAGCTTGTTTGTACACTGCTTTTCTCCTCGGCAAGGTCATGCTATATCTCCGCCTTTGACCTCACCGTGATGCAGAGCTAGACTAATTTTGCGAATGGAAATTCATTAGCCGCATAAAATGACACAAGTAACAACTTAACTTGCAAGAATATCTTATTGTTACAACATAGGTCGATGACTTTGAGGTTTGAGAAGTATTCTCATAGAATAGACTGTATGTAAGCAAATATATGGATATAGATCCGACAGTATGAAGAAAAATATACTGAAAAACAAACAAAAATCCTAATATGCGATTATGCTGTTTTAATTTTTAATGTTAACGTCGGACCATATACATCGTCTTTTTCATGTTGAATTGTATATGGTCTATGTTAATTATGTTTTATGAATATGTTCTGAAGATGGTCTATTAGACCGAAACGTCCGACGTTGACATTAAACATTAAAACAGCATAATCGTATATTAGGATTTTTGTTTGTTTTTTCAGTATATTTTTCTTCAATAGACTGTATGTAAATATACATACATTGACGACCAGGTCGAAAGAAATATTTTGGTTATCAGTAAGTTTCTCTCTCTTTCTCTCTCCCTGTGACACATCGTTTCAGGACGTAGGTGTTCATGACTCTCTACAGCATCCTTTCTTTTGATGTTTTGCAGCTGTCAACTTACTTTTTTTAAAACTCAGAAAATTAGTGGATAACTCAATGCCTAGATATAACATGTAAGTATAAATATTAATATTTGAATAACAGGAGAAATAAGTTCTTTAATCATTTAATTTATATTGTTTTAATTCTGTGTACCTTCAAGTCGTAGTTGATCATAGCTCTCCACAGATTCCTTTTTTATTATTATCTATGAATTACCATGCATTCTTAGGAAAGATAGATGAATGGTTTCCCGTTAGATTCTCCACGGTTTTGAATTTAGTGTTTTCATTCCCTTTGACTAGTTGTCACACAAGTCTAGTGCGCCAATCTACGTTGCTGTTTAACCCATAGCTGGGAGAAGAGTTCAATTCATGCCTTTCCCAAGGATATTTGTGTGAAAGTAAAATGCAAAAGATTAGGCTGGAATTGGAACTCGGCTTGCTGTCTGCAGTTTCCGTGACGCGCTTATATTCATATTAGGATAATGCTAAATTTTCCAGTATTTTTCGGAAATAATCTTTTACTCTTACAAATTCTGGACATTATAAGTAAATCATCAGTATATATATATATATATATATATATATATATATATATATATATATATATATAATATATATATATATATGAAAGCTAATATATATATATATCTTTCTATGATCTTATCTTTATCTTTCAGCTTAACTGTGTATTTCATCATAAAATAATTATTCTAGTTTCCATTCGGGGAATTCTTTGATGTATCTTTCGATATTTTCAAATTCAAACAAGGGATATTGAAAGAAACAAATAATAATCTGGAAGTGATATATCTGTAGAATACACCGTCGTTTGAAGAAGTCCCCATTCCATTTCTACAGTAGTTTGTTGCGTCGTATTTGCAGCATGAAGATTGTCGAGTTTGTTTGTTTTTTTTTGGGGGGGGGCTTGAAAAATCTTGTACGTACCAACTTTTCATTCAAAGAAGCTGAATGATTAATTTTCCTGCAAGATCATCTGTCATTTCTCTTTCTTACAAAAGTCCTTCAGTTCGTCAATATTCAAGTTCTGAAGGCAAAATCTCCCTTTTAAACTTCTCAGAACATTCATATATCCATTAGCTTTATCTAACTTGAAAAAATTGACTTATAGACGTTGTTACCTTTTTATTTTCATAGGCATGTCCAATTGTCATATCATTATTGTGACATTTTAATTGTGTAATCAGAGAAATTTCTTTAATGTTATATTTTTTAACTTCCGTTTTAATATGCCAATTAAGTTTGAATATATTTCTGTGTTTGCATATAATTCTTAGAACCTTTGGTAAAGTTCTTCAGTTTCTATTTCCTTTCGTTAAGGCCGTAGTTAGGGTTGCATGTAGCAATTTGATCCAAGACTAAGCTAGTCTTTTTGATGATCAGTGAGATGGAAATTTGAAAGGTTGAAGAAAACATTTTTCTTTCTGCCTTTATATTGATTGTTTAATTTTTTTTTATGCTAAACTTGTGTTTAAGTTACCCTTTCTGCAGAAACCGAAGGCGACCTGAATGTAAATTGAGTCGATCTCTGTTGATTTTAGATGCTTTTTTTTCTTTGCTAGTGCTGCATGTTTCCTTGACTTTAGAATTTTGCAAAAGGTTGTTCATTTAATTATTCGCTCATATTATCTCAGTGTTCTTCGGAATATCGTAGGGTTTATTTTCTTGTTTACTGCAAAGTCGTGTGGTTTATTTAATATATATTTTGTGAACGATTTTCCATTTAAGCCGGTTTTATTGAACAAAAAAATACAAAAACACAAAAAAAAAAAACAAGCGCACACACAGATATGCTTTATTTTTTTTTATAAATTTAAGTGATTTTTTTCTTGTTTTCGTAGAAGAAAACGTATATTTGATTCCTGAGTTTAAAGGTTACTGTGTCCGTATGTTCGATCTAATTTAACCACTATTAGTTATTTTCAAAAATCGATTTCATCAACACGGTCAAAATATAATTGAAATTTATAACGCTGGGTTAGAAAAAACAAATACATCCACTTTTTCTTGGATTTGCAAACATAATTCACTATTTAATCATTCTTTTTCCTACAAACATTTCCGACTCCAATTCCATTTCTGGAATGATACACTTTCGGATGGAGCTGATGACCGGGAAAAGGTCAGCCGGAATGTTTGAAAATAGAAAAAAGTAAAAGCAGTAAAATTACTATTTTTTTTTTTTACTGAATATTTTTCATAGTTAACTGAGTATGGTAGAAGGCCAAGGTTATTGTATGGCGCCCGTTGAAGATCGAATTCACAACAAGAGTAATAGTCCCTGAGACTAAGTCGGTAATCATTCTTTTAGGAACCATGATTTTTTGGTTCTTCACAACCTCTTGTCTTCTTTTGCTATTAATGACTTTTGACACCCAGTAACCATTTCTACACAAAAAAAAAATCACCTTAGGAAACATCAATATTTGCTAAGCTTGACTTAGTATAGCTCATGGCTACAAATATCGGAAACTTAGCCTCGGATTGGCTGCTCTACGAAGAGGAGTCCAAATATTTATTCATTTACTTTTATAATTGATTGACTCATTCATTTTGCAATGCTTTTTTATTATATCGGTTAACTGGCGCAGTACGATCTTTATAAATATAGTTCCCTTCATCTGGCTTAGGAAATGCTAAGACGCCTTGAAGAGGCATACAGATTTTTTTTTAATTATAGAAATCCAGAGTTTTTTTTGTTTTTTTTTTCATATTGTTGCTTCATTGCTGTTTTCGCATGTGTACTGCTTGGACATATAAGGAGGAAAGTGCAAATTAAAATGACATAAAAACAAAAGCTACCGATAGAAAAACACGTGCTTCTTTCCTAAAGAAAGAAAACAAAAGCTCCAAGCATATCAGCTGCGAATTACCCGAACAGTGGTGAGAAAAAAAAAAATAAATAAATAAGAGTAAACATAAAAGACACTAGCAATAATTCGCTATGTAAAATAAAGCGAGATACAAACACAACACATACACACATGCGCGCGCATTCTCACGCGCATGCGCGAGCACACAGAGAAAATGTGTGTGTGCGAGAGAGACAGAGATGTTTACAAGGGGCCGATTCGATTAATGGCACCAATTTTCACCCTAAACTACGAAATCGTGCCAAGGAAATTCGAAAATTCTGAAAAAGGATCACTTCGAAAATACATGAAACGTATTCATTTGCATTCTGTATTTACAAGTCCTCTTTTCTATAGCCTGCATATATAACAAAAAAAGAAAGAAGTTCATGGCAATTGTTCGGGCAAGCTTTTTTTCCTGGTGCCCCGATCAAATTAATTTAAGCATGCTACTAGATTGGCAACTAGGACTCATCGTTATATTGTTGAACTAGCTAGATGAAACCGCCACTTTGAATCTAACAGTTTTTTTCTCTCGCACTTCTCACATGTGGAAATCCCTTCCGATTTCTTTCTTCCCCGATAACTACAAACTTCAAAAATTTAAATGCAACGTCAATCGCTATCTCCTGTCTTCTTGAAGCCTGTCCTTTTTGGTTATTTCCTCAATCCTCCCCATTTTCATTCTTCCCGTTCTCTTTCACTCTCTGTGAAAACTTGCATTCTAGTGGCATTGTCGTTTTGCCTGGGCAGCGAACGATAAAAAACTATATAAAACAAACAAAAGATAGCAACCGGTTACTTAGTAGCCAGTTGCTTTGTTTTATTTTCAAATTACATCTTTTCGGCGCAGAAGCTAAGTTAAGCTTTGTTCAAAATATTTTAAATAAACATTATAATTTCTGATTTTCTTAAAATAAATTTTGAAAAAATGATAATTGATATTTAAAAGAATTTTAAAGTGAGATTTCCAGTTTTTTTTTTAATAAAATGAAAAAAAAATGGTCAATTTTGCTCACTCAAAAAAAAACAAGATTTCTAACGAAAATTTCGGACGTGCTAGGAACGATTAAAAAATGTAAAAAAAAAAAATAACCCCCAAAATACATTGATCTTTCCTCTTAATAATAACATAAACCTTTAGACGATAAAATTTTGTTTTCGTCAAGTTTGGCGTCTTTTTCATCCTGCTATGCTCTGTTTTTAGCGATCTCATGAAGGTACCTAGGTTACTTTATACAGAAACGGAAGCTAACATTTTTTGGTATCGATTCTGTTTTTAAATCATTCTAAGTACAGAAATGTTTGATGTTAATCGTGTTCCTTCGTAACCTAGTGTATGCTTGTCTTGTCTATGATTTCTAAAAAAATGTGGTTAATTATGACACTGTTCGCCTACCGTAATTAACGTTTTAACATCAGCAACAACAAGGTTGTTCA